AAATTATATAACAAATGCAACATTTGTATATCTCTTTTGTAAAGATAAAACTCTACATTAATATTAAAATTTACTTTTCGACCTTTCCACCGAATTCGGATGGCTCCATTGTTTGAGAACCTATATCAAGGCTCCCTTTCACCATAATTAAAGTTCTCAGGCCGAGTCCTATGCAGTAGCGCCATATTTATCCGTAAACAAACATGTGGTTGCAATCTACTAGTCCGTCCAAATTTGGGAAGTAAACAATGCTGATCTTTTGAAAGGGGTAAGCCAAATCCTCACTTTTTGTTGAAAAATTTTAGAAGAAAGGCAGAGAAGCGAGAAAAAGATAGTAGGCACCACTTGGCCAGAAAAAAGGAGTGCGGCTTAAAAGAAGCCCATTCTTTACTGTTTCCCAGTTGTTTCACAATTGATAGCTTCGTCGACAGAAGGCTTGGACTTCTATCACCTCCACCTATCCACCAAAATTTCGTATACAAGGGCACTATCTTCTGCCAGTTATCTTGTATACAGATGCTTTTGGCTTACATATCGAATATATAAAGGAGCCTCCAAGAATAGAGAAAGGTTAACCTTTATAAAAACCGCCCTGTTGAATTCATCTCACTACAGGTTACTACTCTCCAGTATCGAAAAAGGCTTTTCTTTTTGTCAGAAAATTTGGTCCAAGTGATCATCAGAAAGAGTTGATAAATATTATATAATTATGTTTATTCAATTTATTACTTTCAATAATATAATATAAGTGGTTTAGTTGCATCAAACAAAATTTGATGCAAATAGACTTTTTAAGCTTTTTTTTTTAAAAAAAAGTAATACAGTAACAATAATTTAACAAATTTTATTATTTTATTGTAGGTGCATATATGAAGATACTTGAACTTGACAGTAAAAAGAATTTCAATACCTAAGTAGCTACAGTTGATTTTTGAACTAAAAAGATTTCAATTGCTAATATTAAATCTGAGCTTTTTGCTAGAATTTAAAAATTTAGCTTTCCAATTCAAAAACTTATTGCAGAAGAAATGCATACTGTTTCAAAAAAATTGCAAGAAAGAAAGAAGATGCCCAACTTTAAAATAACTGAATATTCTTGCAAATTCATTACACAGTATATACTATCTTGTCATCATATCTTTTATAAACAACTTTGTAGTGATTCCAGTATTCTAATATCAGAAGTGTGGTATTATTTTCAAAAAACATTTAATGAAAGTGGTTTGGAGGTATATCAGTTATATCAGTTGATAGAAATACCACTAATTCAACGATCAGATGCTGAAAAAAATGCAGAAAAAAGTTATCAAATTATAAATAAATTGTTTAAAAGAACTAAGGATCAATATTATCAATTGATCGAAAAAAATATTGATGAAGCAATGAAATTTAGAGAAGTTATTAGAACTTGTAATTGAAAAAATTAAATGAAATAAAAAATAAAATAATAAAATGACTTTTGTCCAGTAATATAACTTTCACTATTTTAAACTTTTATTTCATAATAATTTAACATGTAAGTAGAAATAATATTTTATTGACTTGATGAATAAATTATACAATATTTGATGAATAAATTATTAAATTATAAATTTAACATGCAAATGAATAAATAAAGAATTCTAATGACGATAAAACATGTTCATTCTTTTATGAATAAACTATATATGTACTTACAAGTAATATTTAAAGATTTTTATTAAGATTAAATGAAATAAAGAATAAAATAATAGAATGACTTTTGTATTTTAAAATACAACTCTTTCCGATGATCACTTGAACCAAAATTTTCCACAGAAGAAAAACATAAATTTTTGCTAGAAAGTTGTGGCCTACATAGTGGTTTGTTTAGAGATCAACTGCTTTTCTAAGAGACTCCTCTATAAGTGACATTTGGTATGCAAGCCAAGAGCATTATTATACAAGATAACTGGCAGGAGGAGCCCTTGTATAAAAAATCTTGGTGGAGAAAAGGACTCTGTGGACTAATCTTCTTTCTCTATTAACGAAGCTATTAGGCTATACTTCTTTGAAGACACTGGGGAACAACAAAATAACATGTTATTTCTTCAAGCCGCACTCTTTTTACTTGTTCAAGTGGCTCCTTTTTACTTTTTATTGCTTTCTTGTCGATCTTCTAAAAATTTTTGAAAAAATGTGGGGATTTGGCTTACCCCTCCAAAAGATCGGCATTGTTTACATCAACCAAATTCGGATAGACTCAGT